TTTTTTTTTTCTACATTCTTCATCATCATTCATATCGATTCTCAATTGAAATTTTTAAAAATTAATTATTTTATTTTTCCAATCAATTTAATCAATCAGATAGCATTGATCGAATTTTCGTCATAATTAGCTAATAAATGGCACTGAGCGTGAAACGAAACGTCCACAGAGCGTGGTTGGTTGCAAGTTTCGTTGATCCGGGTTGACTGGTGTGTCGCTATGGATAGCAATCTCGGAAATGGCGTGCATTCCTGTCGACGGCACGCCTTTTATGCGACATTCGTTCGCACGAGGTTCGCAAAAACCGTATTTCCGGCTTTGAGCAGCTTCCATGACACAGTTACTCGCTAATCGATGTAAAAGGATCCCGTCAGATATGTCAGAATTTTAGATTTCGTCAAATAAAGTTAATTCAGAATTATGTTACTTAAAATTACTAAATTTATTAAGTATATATATTTTCATCAAGTGTTATTCGTCATTGTTCATTCCTTGAACAATTATTATTCTTTTTCAGGATTGTATATTGTGATTGTACATACACGAATTGTGATCATCGTTTGACTTTCATAGTGGCTGTGATTTTTGCTGATTGCAAAAATTGTACACGTTGCATTTACCAGACTGACTGTTGAATATAAAATTTATTACGTGAAGAAACGTGAAGAAAAAGGAACAAAATATAAATCCAATCTTTCGTTGAATTATAATCGGATAATTGTCGCACCATTTATTACGAAAAATTGGCGAAAAACGTATGACATTATTCGCGGCGATTTTGAGAAGCTTTACCTCGGAGGAATGCCTAATGAGTGAAATTAATTGAGTAACGCACTGCCTTCGTCACGCAAACTTGGAACGCCCCTATGATTAGGGAGAATGAGTAGGAAGGATCTATGTTAGCCTTAGGATACGAGTTAATAGCATTGGCAAAGTTGACGCACTAGAACGCCACATCGAGGAGCGATGTTAAATGTATTTCGCCCCTTCATGCTCGGAAGAATTAAGTCAGTAATCCACGAAGGCTCGTCCAACAGCTACTTACAGCCTCGTTATCTTGACATTAAGTAAACTGCATCGTAAAACGTGCCGGTACTCTCTTAATAATACCTTAGAATATCAATATATCGATTAAATTACTATTATTGATGTATATTAACTCTTCCATCAACGAATTCTTCTTGTGTTTTTACATGACGAACAAAATAATACATTTCTTGTATCAGAAATTTAGAAAAATGTTTGATTATTATTCTCAAGATTATGTCTAAAAATTGTGTCAAAGAATACGCTACGTATACGCTTATTCATACATGCATTCAACAGATCAAAATTCCGAAGACTTTCTATTCTTAAAGAAGAGCTTAGAATGCATTGAAGTTTGTTAACGAGTATACCTATGCAAGCTAAACTATAAAGATGAGGCGGTGTTGTACATCGCGAAACTTTACGAAGAAACCGACTCTGCTTTTAGTCATTCTTCTCTGAAATTCTCGTTAAAAAGTTTTTCTTTCCTTACTAGCTAACCGGCTGATATTACAATTTTTTCCTGCTAGTCTAACCTCTTTTTTTTCCCAAGATGATTCGCGTAACAACGTGACTTACTGCAAGCTGTATACGATCAAATTATCAAATATGGACTAGAAAATTTTGGAAATGAATCTAATCCATAAATACAGAAAATTAAAGC